TTGGATTTGTTATGGCTTTAGCAATCGTAGATGATAACTGACAGATAGTTGGCACAACAATAGTACTGAGAACTTGCGCAATTTGATCTATTTGTATTTGGTTCGTCTGAACCGAAACGGAAATTGTCTGAATGTCTTTAGCTAAATTCGCAAGTGCACTACGACTATTGTGCGCAATATCTTGCAGTTGTTTAGAAATATATGCAAAATCAACGAAAGAATTACGAGATGGATCAACTGAGCGATTAGCAAATAAGGCTGGTGCAAAGGGAGCTTGCTTAACAACGGAACTAAAAGTGCGAGTAGATGGCATGGGCGCCTGAACTTCATTTGACTGAGAAATTTGTTCTTCTTTTTGTGTTTTGAATGTTAAAAAACTGCCCTGAATCGGCTCATTTTGTGGCAAAAGTTGATTTACTCTGGCACGAAAAGTACGAGGAACATGACATTGATTAGGCAAGAGATGCTTGTCTATCAAATGACCCATTAGTACACGACGATATTCGATTAAAGCGGGGCATCGGCTATCATAAAACATATGAGATTGTGAACAGTTTCTACAACTCATTTCGCCCGAACATTTGTGCTCTTTCTGCGGTAGAAGTTGTTCAGAACAAATTTTACAAAGTGCATACTGTTCTTTACAGTCTTTACCATAATGACCATATCCATGACATTTCTGACAAAACAAGACTTTTGGCGTGCTAAAAAATTCTTTGATCTTGAATTCAAAATGATCTAGACTAATCTTACCAATTTCTTTACATCTGTCATATTCTGTAGAATTCCGAAAGTCTAATCTAACATTTACACTTGTTATCGATTTATACGTTGGTTGACTAGCGGCTGTAACAATCGATGGATAAATTCTTTTGAACATCTTGTCTTAATTCATCTATATTAGTGCCAGACGGAACGCCTAACATTAAGAGAGATAACTGTGCGGGTATTTTACGAGGCCATTCAATTTCAAATTTCTGATTATCTAGTAGCCTGGGAAATATCCTTTCGTCTAATAGACAGGAGAAGGTTTCACGATTTTGTGAGTAAAGTAAGATTCGTCCATTACTAATCCTCCAAAAAGAAATCTTAAATGTTTGGCAATGTTCTGTCTTAAAATCATTTATGAATCTCATTACTGCTTCTCCATTTAGTCTAACATTTTTATTCATTGGACATATTTTGATAGGTGGAAAATCAAATCCTCTAGCATATTGTTCTGCTGATTTCGATACGGTGGTGTTTGAAAGTTGACGACGATAATTAATTGGTTGAGAACCGTGGATACTATTTGCACTGGCAGATGATAACTCTTTCGGCACCACTCTAGTCTTTTGATGTTTAGATTGAACTTTTATTGTTGCTGGATCATTTAAAAAGTCTTGAATTTGTGTGAGATCATGTGCTCCTTCTTCCTGTAAGCTATTATGAGTAGGAATCAAACTAGCAGCGGCCACAAACTGACTAAGGTTTGCCTTAGTTTGTTTAATTAAAACATCTGTTTCCATACTAGTATCAGAGAGAGAAATTAATAATTCTGGTTTCTGTTTTCGTTTTCGTTTTTCTGCATTCTTCTTATGATGATTTTCGTTTTTTTCTTCTCCATCGATATTTTCTTGTTGATGACTATCGCCATCGTTTAATACAAGTGATTTATTCTCAGAAATATTACTTGATCCTGGTAATAGGCATTGTGATTGTCGCTGTGACTTATTAGCACCAGTTTTCTTTGATTTCTTTTTTCGCCAGCATATTATAGTGTACGGAGCATTTATTTTCAGAACAAAGTGATTTTCATGTAAAACTTATACCATTCTAATCGGCACAATAGAAGGGGTCGATTGAAACTGTTTACAACTATCGCGAAGGTCTCTATAAGGCACAAGTCGTTGACGAATGAGTCTATAATATTATTAATTTAAAAAATCATTGTAAGAAAAATTTTTTCAAAAAACGTGGCGCGCACAAACTCAAAAAGTGAAACTGAAAATACTTTGGTTTTCAAAAAGATTTTCTAGAAATCTTTGGAAATAAGACTCTAAAATTAATTGATGCGTACACAATCAGATTGAGCAGATAAAACAGAGTATACCTTGATATTCTGAAGTAGAATGTTAAAAAATTTTTAAATTTTTAATGCAAATATTCAAGAGGGCTTATTTCACTTCATATAGGTTTTCATTAGGTGTTGAGACTTTTTCCGAAAAATGAACTTTGCCATAAGACCAAGCCTGGTCGATAAAGGGTGGCCCAGAAGTCCTGACTCGATTTGAATGGTTAGTTTTTCTTTAGTAAAATACATGATTAAAAATGTGTCTCTAGTGTGAAAAGATGCATCAGAACACGCTCTACAAAATGACGCTTGATTGACCATTCTACCTCATATAGTGAGAAAATTACAAGCTTAAAAACATGCTCCACAGAAAATAAAAATTAACTGTGAACCCGATTTCTATGATGGTTCGTCCTATAAAAGTCTCGTAGCTGCATCAAAACAGAAGGTTTGCCAATCAGGTTTGTTTTGTTTTAATCAGAAATGATTGCACTCCTCTAACTAGCTGCAACATCAAAACATCGTTGACCTTTCTTTTTTTGCTGAGTACATTGCCGAAAACTAGAGTGTCAATTCTCGACGTATTCTTGAAACTTGAATCTCAAGTACACCATCTTCATCATCGCTTCTATAAAGCAGATATTTTAGAGACCACAAGAAAGAGTAAGTTTAAAAGTATCGAATAGCAATGAGTACTCACTTTCATACCCTGTCGAACAGAAATATTAAGAAAAGAAAAATTTCAAGTAAAAGACAACTAAATTCATGAAGTTCTTAGTTTTTGCCTCGCTTATAATTTGCTACGTTTTTCTTAATCGGAGTTCTGGAAGTAAAGTTTAAGTATGATTTTGAAGAGCATTTTTCAGCGCTTCGATTTAAAACCGACACTTGTTCTAATAAATCTAGGTAACAGAACTTAGACCCAAATACCGAGATCAAGATCACGGTTAATTTTTATTTTCTGTGTAAGCATATTTCGACTTGTAACTTTCTCACTATACGAGGTAGAATGGTCGAGCAGGCGTCATTTTGTAGAGCGTCAAAAAGAACTGAAGATTTTTTTTCATTCATTCTATGTGAAATTTAGATTTCTAGTTTATACGCATCCGATAGGTGGGATAATTTATTTTCCTATGTTTCCGATGACTAGGAATACAATGAACACTTTACTTTTATTATAGCTTGAAGTTTCTACTTTTCAATTTGTTTTGTAAATGGTACAGTACCAGCCCAAAGCACTCATATGTTAACTGAATAGTCGATTAGGCATGAAACAATTTTCAGTCAGAGTCAGATGTGAAAATTCTCCATCACAAGATCGAATAACCTATCACATATGACACACAATGGAGGAAAATGTATTTTGCGCAGCATTCGTTTCTTTCTCTGTAATTTGAGAATACTTTGTATTATTTATTAAAACATTAGATTTCACAATTAAAGAAGATACAACAGTTGTATAAAACATTTTTCCTATTCCTTTTAGTGTTTCATTATTCGTTAATCAACGTTTGTTTGTTCGAATAAATATTTAAACCAGCAAGGTTCGCTTTCTTCAACTTACAAAAAAACAAACAAATGGCTTCCTTGAGGACAAAAGTGTTACGATAGCCACCTGATGTTGATTTACAACTCATTTTATGGGTGCATGGAACGTTCCTATTTCCTGGAAATTGAAACATTTCACTGTAAAAATAAATTCTTTTCGATAAAATTTTCCTTTCATCTTAGCTACCACTATCAGCTTAGGCAAGGTGGGGTTCGGTCAGGAAATTCATCTTAGCTAGCAGTATTATCTTAGGCAATGTAAGGTAAGGTAGAGAAATTCAAATGTATTTCTATACTTAAGCTGGGACTATTCGCTTAGGCAAGGTGAGGGGTAAAGTCAGGAAATTCAAATGATTACCACTGGTTAAAGCATAGAAATTCGTTTGAATTTCCTGACCTTACTACACGTTAACTAACCGAAGTGTTGGGTGACCTCTAAATCTAAGCGAAAATTTTTTCCATGAATTTTACTTTATACTTGTACATTTTGAATTTCCACGAAAGAGGAACGAGCCATGCTATGCATTTTATACGCGTGTCTGACACCTGAGAACGAATAGTTGGTATGCGACGTTTGGAATTCCGCTTTCGCGACTATTTCATCATTTCGTGTTTCACTCTTGTCAGAAATTTGATTGTACGCTTTTCTAAGATAACTGAGGGCCAGAATCGCAGAGCGAATTGACTAAAATCTGTAGAATTTGCAGAAAGTCTGCAGGAAAGTGCAAGATTTGAAACAAAAGTAGATCTAAACATATGAAAAAAATTTCTAAGTCATAAAAGATAACTTGGATTCGATATACTGAGTTATCGTCCTGAGACACTACAGGTTTTACTAAAGAGAGAGATTACTCTGTCTCAAAGAATACGTTGAATAAAATCTGAGTGTGTGAGGTCCGACTTTCTCGACCTACGGTTTCGGTTTCATATTTTTTTTCTTCGGAGAACCGGAACGGGTTCCGCAGATCTCTACCAGCGACCGGAGAAATGCCGGATTCACGTTTTTGACAAAATCCATTACGTGAAAGACTTCGACAAATGCCCACTCATTCGTCACCATTTCCCGTTCTTTTTCGCAGAGAACAGAATTACCTTTGTGCGTAGGAAAACAATGAATCATTTGTTTTTCAGCTGTCAAACTGTCTTTAAAAGAAAGAGAAAGACGATATTGCATACAGTCATTTCACGGCAACATACTCATGTTCAAATCATTGTCATTCGTTAATCTGTATGTTCTACTCGCTATTTCTGTGAGTCAAGTAGTATTAGCCTATGTCTATCACGATCGATGTCCAGCATCGCCTGATTTACCACTGGTACTTATCATTACTGGAGGCTTTGGTCTTTTTTTGACCGGTGCCGCTCTGATCGTTCTCTGTTTTGATCCATCTAATGGTAAGGGTAAATGGAATTTATTGGCAACAAGTATCTTATTCGTCTATCTGATTGGATCACGCATTGCCACAAGTATTATGGCGTTTCGTCTCGCATCTCTTCCTCACGATCGAAACCATTGCACCTCTGCACTCTACTGGAGTTCAACATTACTGATTATATGCTCGTATATTGTTATTCTCATCACGACTGGTCTCCTACTCGATCTCGTCATAAGGAGAATAGAATGTATGAAGCAACACTGCTCACCGTCAACACTTCACGTAACAACAATGTCTGCAGTATGATACGACGTGCTTTAGTTTTCTTCTCTACAAGTATACATATTCCATTAGAAGTCCGCAAATACTTGAATATGTGTGTTATCGGCAAAGACAAATATGTACTCTGGAAAAAATGTCAAAAGTTAATAGTTCGCGGAAGACTCACAGATGTGAGGTGAGTCTTCTAAAAACTGCCTAAAAAAACTTAAACAACAATTCATATATTTTTTTGTACCAATAGATAATCCAAAATGCTCGAGATAGAGCCTTAAGAATACGACATAGAGTCTTAATTTATTTTTTCGCTTAAAAACAGCAAATCAAAACGAAGAGATGATCAAAGCTGGTTTTTGAATTTTCCTTTTGTTCGTTTGTCAGATTGACATCTTTAGCACAAATCATGTGAATCTTGAGCAGTTTTGTCAAATCGTTCAGCGTCCCAAACCACGTCGAATGATGTACTTTGTTAGTCTATCCGACTACACTGACTTTTTTCAAATTTCTACGTTCGAAAATTCTTGAGATTCTCACCAAAAAATAAAAATAAACAAAAAGTTTTGAAATATATATCATTCGACGTAGTTTGGGACGCTGATTCCTAATATGATATTTTTATTGCATAAAACTTGATTCCCGATGATTAAAATTGAGAATACCGGCAGAATTTCGGTTTTTGCGCGTCTGATCTAGAAAATATTAACTTTTCCAACGACAAAGTACGATGGAAGAAGCGCAATAAAATTCTCTATCGAATCTGCTATTCAGGTTTTTGATACTTTCAAATTTTTAAATCCGGCAGGGTCCTTTGCGTTTTCAGACTGTTTTCACCTAATATTAAGAAGTTCACTATTCACTCAATAAACATCAGAACGGGTTCGAAATTTCAGGATATGGTTGATTTTCTCCGCTAAACGTAATTATAAGATCGAAAAATCCGAAAAAGCATATTTTTATTATTGGGTTTTCCAGAAAACCTTTTGTAAACCCTAGAGTTTTACAAAATTTCTTTTGAGATCTCCTATAAACACGATATAGAGCAACTTAAATACGCTACATTCTAAAATTTGAACTCGTTCTGATGTTCATTGAGTGAATAGTGAACTTTTTAATATTAGGTGAAAACAGCCTGAAAACGCAAATTTTCGTAAAACTCGCTTTTCGGTAGATTTTTAGAACTTTTTCTAAAACAAATATTGTCACAAGGCTCAGCATAATCGATTACCAATAGTCCATCCGTTTGCTACCGATAGTCACCGGATGCCAGTCCTGGAACTCCAAAAGCAATGGTTTTTGGGAAAACCTCCAGGACAATGCAGAATCACTGGTGCTAATTGGCGTTATGGTCAATGGTAGAGCACACATAGAGGAATATTTGGCGAAAGGTTGAGCTCGATTGGACTTTAGCTGTTTGTAGCGTTTACAAAATACAGAATGATACAGTTTTGATATTCAGTTTTAGACTAGTAGATTTTTTTTCTGTAGCAATTTGAGCTCAATCTAAACGATCTTTTCATTAAAATGGCGCTCATAGATGAATAATTCTTTTCAGATAGTTTTTCAAATTAAACTATTCCAATAAGTTGGCCAAAAAATTAACTTTATCTGAGGATAGCAATTTTTGAATAAATTTCTTAGTATGTGTTTTTCCAACGTTCAATTTAATTCCTGAAAATACTATTTCAGGACAAGATAGTTCAAAGATAGAAGTAATTATTCTAATGTTTAAACTTCGAAAAATAGCACTTTCGTTTTATATCCGCCTGATTGCCCGCTGTGTTGCACAAAGTTTCTTAGTATTTTGCGTATTTCTAAGGCGTTTTTAATTGAATAAGCGTGCTACTGAATATGAAGATAGAACTAACAGTTCTATCCGCTGAAGTAAAAATCTCCTAAAAATCCGTCTCCATTTTCGACCAGTGTTCAAAAGGAGATGGGAACCTCCAAACCGGCCGAAATTACCCCCTATGGGGTAGTTCCGGTCGGTCCATTCAAATACATGGAGTTTTCTGAAACAAACCTCTGCTAATTAAGGATAGATTCTAATCAGGTAGAAATTGCACCAGTCTGAAGCTCTTCTTCTCTTCTACCTGTCATACAAATTTGAAATTATTAGCATCTATTCTAATGAAGTTAATTAAAATACAATAAGACGTGGTCAGATTTCTGATTTTTTCATTTTTCTCGATTGGAATAATTCCGGCCGGTCCATTCAAATACATAGAGTTTCCTGAAACAAACCTCTGGTACTTTTCAAAAGTTGATTTCTGACATACTCTTCAGGTAAAACGTATTCGTTACGTCATTACCTACAACCTATGTGAAAATTGCATTTCAGTAGCTTAAAACCAACACGTTCTATGATCTTAAATATTTTGATGTAATTTTACACATATTGTGGTAATGGATTTACACAGTATTATTAAATATTCTCATTAATTATGAGCAATCCATGGAAAAAGGACGGGGGTCGATAAGAGACAAAATCAGCCCCCTCTCAGATCAAGTTCATATTCACAGGTCTGATGTAGTCTTTCTCTGTGATTAAAACTAGCACCTCAAAAAACCATTTTCGACCCTCCCCCCCTGAAAAAACTTTTGCATGCAAACTTTTCTCCCGTTAGATGAACTTTATTTAGAGTGCTTTCCTCATGTCTTCTCTTTGCTCAAAGCAAAATCTCAACTACTGTATACCATTCGATAGAGAATTTCACCCAATTACCCCAAGAAAAATAACTGACAGGTCGGAATTACCCCAATCGAGAAAAATGAAAAAATCAGAAATCTGACTATGACATTTTTGCATGAAACAGCATTCAATTTAAGGGCCGTCCCATATCAGTAAAACTAACGGGAAAACAAGATGATACGTGCGTGGGGCCTTCTGTAAATTGAATGCTGTTTCATGCAAAAATGTCGTAGAGCTCGGAGACGTCTCATTTTCTTCAGAAATGTTTGCTCTACACAATGGAGCTTTTGCAACGAATTTCCAGATTGAACCCCGTGACTTTGTTTTCGGAGATTTGGGTTTTCCAGAGACCCTGATTTTGAGAGCTTTGATAGAAACCTTTTCATACAGCACAGCAGATTCCAAATTCTATCAGCTGTTCAAAATTTTTTTTCAAATTTTTTTTAGCTAGTATGGTCGACGAGAAAAATGAAAAATAAAGGTAGTGAACAATTTTTGAAGCCATTCTAGGTTAAAGAGGCGCAGTATTTAATACCCAAACACCGCTGTCAAGCTCCATTAAATTTCTTATTAACATGTGTTGTAGAAAGTTTCATCGCGCACCGAATGATGTATGAATAACGAGAGATTATATTTAGTTCCATAGAAAAAAATGATCAAGACTTCCCTTGCCGTACCCGCGACTAATGGAAAAGTCTAATATTAAACCCATAAAAGCCGCTGCCAGGCTTCGTTAAGTTTCCGATTAATATATCTTGTAGAGCTTTTCAAGGCGCGTCGAATATGAATGATTACCGATCATCTTTAGTTTCATCGAGAAAAGTGACCGGTAGTTCAAGTAGTATAGCCGCGACCTATGAAAAAGTCTATTATTAAGCTCATAAAACCTGCTGCCAGGCTTTGTTAACCTTCCTATTAATGCATCTTGCAGACCTTCTCGCGCAGTATCGAATGATGCATTGTAGTAGACTTAATGTTGGATGCTTACAGAGATAGTTTGATTTTACAGTTATACTATTGGTGCTAAATTGTTGCTTGGTTTCGAGTAGGTTCTGTTGGGTGTATTCGACTGAAAGCATTCGGAAGGGTCAGAGTCATCGAATATGATGATCGGATGTGATTCTGATGAGTTTCGTACCGATTGGAGGAGCTAAAGTTAGTGGGCCGATTTCACGTCTTATGCGGACTTCACCTGTGAAGGTACCCCCGCTCCCACGAGTTTTTCTGGCAGTTTGAAGTACACAACCTGTACTCTATTTAGAAAAAGGTCAAGCTACTATTTAGAAAAAGGTCTCTTTTAATTTTTAAGATGTAGAGCTGTCAATATCGCAGGTTAAAGTTAGTAAAATCCATGGACCTGACTTTAATTTTAAAAATTACACGAATTTTGTTGGACTTTCATATCTCTATAATTCACGTACTATCATAACTTGCGTTACACAAGTATACCGTTGTATAATGTTTGTTTAAAAACACTATCCTCTATACTTTTTACAGTAATTTAGAGTATATCTGTATAGAACGCTATTTCTCCTTGAAGAACAAAATAAGGAAAGACATTTTAATTTTAGAAATTCTACGAGCTTTGGAATGATCAACATAATTTTCTTGACCAGTTTTCGGAACATCATAGTCAAAGAAGCCCAAGTTCAGCATTTATTTTTTACAGTGAAATCATCAAAATTAAATTGAAACGTATCTATTTTCCTACCTTTAACCCTTGATATTGAGAGCTCTATATCTGGAAAACTAAAAGCGACCAATGTTTCGAATTTTATTCACCTACATTTATCGTCTATAGCACATTATTCACATTATCGTATCAGCTGATTCATTATCCTACCATACATTCTACTATAGCTTTCATCATATCAAGCACTATAATATATATTCACTACAAAGGGTATCACGTGATGATTAATTATCTGACAGGAGAAACGATAGTTTTCTGAAAAATATACTCATTTTGTGACACTAATTATAGGATAACTAAAGTAAATGAGGAACCAACAGTTTTTATTCAAAACTTGAAGAAAAGAAAAATTATTTAGAGACCTGGCTGTTGACTAGAGGCTTTTGCCAGAAAATCAAAAACACCTAAGTATATAAACTAGAGTTAGCCTATTAATTACATTAAAGAGAGTGTAGGTTTCCTGTCGTAATATTGTCCTCATATCCTTCTGCTCGAAGGATTGCTCGTCCAGTTAGTGACTTATAATAGTCTTCTAGTTTTTGTATTTTGCTTACGTTATGAATGTAAGAAGTAGATGTGTAGCGCGGCAGTCCCAGTGCTGCTCTAAGGCTCTTGTTTTGCAGGATTTACAGCTTAGACCATATTTCTTCGCCTGCTTTTAGAAATACTGGTGCACCAGATGTTAAAACAGATCGGATGAGAGACTTGAAAAGATTGAGCATTATTCTGTCGTTTGACTGTGGTTGTGATTTGGATAGAAATATGAGAAGATTAATTCTGCTTCTGACTTTTTCTTGGATATATGTGACGTGTTTTTTCCACGACAGTGTTTGATCGAAAATAACACCTAAATATCGTGCGAAGGGTTTTGGATGCAGTATTGTTGCACCCACAGCCACCTTGATTGGATTTTTGTATGGTTTACGTGGATGTGGAGTAAAGTGAATCATTTCTGTCTTTGTCGACTGTAGCGTTAGTTTCCAGGTCTGACACCAACGTTCAAAAGCAGTTATAGATTCCTGAAGTCGCCTGTTCAAACCCGAAAGAGTGTTGCAACTTGACCAGAGCGCCGTATCGTCGGCAAATAAGCCATGTTGCGTATGATCCGGCATTACATTCATTGAGTCAGCGGTAAACAAGATGTATAAAAGTGGAGATAAAGGTGAACCTTGCGGTGTTCCACTTCTCACGTTGAACTGTTTTGAAAGTAAGCTCTCGAGTTCGATTGTTGCTGTTCGTTCATCTAGAAAGGATATCATCCATCTTGTGATGTAGAGTGGTATGTTCAAATCGAAGAGTTTGTATATTAGGCCATCATGCCACACGGAATCGAATGCTTGTTTTATATCGAAAAATATGACAGCCGAATGATTAGCTTTTTCCAAGTTACTGGCTGCGAAATTTTGCAGCCGTAGTATATTGTACATAGTGTTTTTTCGTGATCTAAAACCAGCTTGATGTCGTGGAAGGATACCTGAGACCTCCAAAATCAGCATCAATCGGTCCTTCATGATCCTCTCCATCACTTTGCCAATACAACTGAGAAGACTTATAGGCCTATAACTAGATGGATCTTCTTTCTCCTTTTTTGGTTTTTTAGATTAGATTGTTTATTTTAGTCCGTACTGTATTTGTAACGTGATAGTGAAACGGAAGATCATCTTCTTTAGCTTTATAAACCTCTTGCTTGAAAAAATCTGCAAATAATTCAGCTTTTTCACTATCAGTACAAGCAGTTCTTGTTTTATACTTCAGTATGCCAGCATGAGTCTGTTTAGTTCTTTTATTATGATAGCGTCTCACTGTCGCCCAAACCTTTCCGGTGTTCATTTTGTGCTTTGTGAGTGCTTCTGTCAGGCGTCTGAATCTTAGATTTTTTTCATTTCTCAAGGCATTGTCGAGTAGTATTTTCTGTTTGTAATAGAAAGTTTTATCGTGTGCGAAATTACGTTTCTTCCATCGTCTGTACGAACGGTGTTTTTCTTTAATTAGTTGTAGAGTAAATGAGCTGACACGATGACTAAGTTCTGTGCCAGCTATCGGCACAGCTCATTTTGTGGCCGTTACTATACAGTTGGTAATGAACTGATTGTAATTTTCTAGATCAGCTGTTGTCTTAATCGACTTATTTTCGTCTCATTGCGACAAGTTTGTGTTGAGTTGCTACCGGTAGATATACCAATCACACGCTGTATAGTTGAAAGAAAGACGTGGTGTTACTGGTTTTACGTCGGGGGTAACGGAGAGACTGAATGTCAGTGGTTTATGGCCGCTGTTCACCCCCAAGGAGGGATGAGTTTCGACATTAATGAGATAAATAGTAGGAGTAGTGGCGATTATCCAATCTAGTTTTTGTTGATAATTATTACGTTCGTAGGTCATCAACGGCGCGTCTATACAAGAGAAAATATTCTCTTCCAATAAAAGAGCCAATTGACGGCCTTTACTGTTAGTTTTAGTAGAGCCCATTAATTCCAGGGCAGCGTTTATGTCACCCAACACTAATGTGTCAGGATTTATATACCTGACTAATTTTTTAGTCAGGTTAGTCTCGTTCAATGAAATAACATCGTAGTGCTGAAAACGAGCAATCAGTTCTTCACGGTGTTTATTTGCGGATGTGAGATTGATGTGACACATACGCATTAATTGATCATCTGATTTAAACTGTTCTGAATAGTTTTTTGAAGTCTCGGATTGTACCTTGAAACTGAAACTCGTTTCAACGAACAGGGATTTCGTTGGTAACTTTTTTGAGGAAATGGGTAAGCCGGAGCTTGTGTTTTACTAGTAGTGGTGGTCGTTGCAGCAGCATAGTATGCTGTTGCACTGGGTTTTCGAAAATATTGGGAGGTTGAAATTTCTTTTTTGCCTGTAGTGGTAGAAGTGAAAACTTCCTTCATTTCAAAACTCTTACAACCTTCATCTTCTGCACCACCCTGATTAATATATGCGTCTTCTGTTTCAAAATCGACATCGTGGAATTGGGGCGGATTTTTAGTAAATTGTGCTTTGGTGGACGGAATAGATAGTGATGAGGATAGAGTGGATAACTTTGAGTCTAATCCATCTAATCTGTCTAAAATTCGGTTGAGAACTGGCTCAATTTTAGACATAACTTTTCGAAAGACTTCTTCGACGAGATTGTCTTTGTTTAAAGACGACGACGACGAGTTTTGTTGACGTGCACCGTCTAGTGACGGGAACGCACGCAAATCGGTAAGATTAGGTGGCGAACGATGCTTGTTTGACGTATTTGTTGAGTAGTCGTCAACGGTTGTCTTTAGTTTTTTCATCTGTTCTTGATATTTTGGACATTTACTATCAGTAGCATGATGATGTCCACTACAATTTTTACATTGGATATTGGAATCAGCTTCTGTGCAATTTTTCACATCATGTGAGCCAGCACACCTCGAACAAATTTGCTGCTTATCACGACAGTACTTACTAATATGTCCATATCCTAAACAGATGAAACACTGAACCGGTTTTGTTGCAAATCTTGCAGCCTCGGTAGCGATAAACATATGGTCAATTTGTAGCCCTGTTCTGACGATCGTATTACGGTTAAAAACGTTGGCAAGTGTTACTTTAACTGTCGTACCGTCGTGCTGTTTTGTGTGGTTTTTTAGACGTTCAACCTTTTCGACTAGAAGACCGACTGACGTCAGTGCTTGTTCAATTTCATCTGTTGTAATTCGTACATCGACGTTTTTTAAAAACGCCTGTTTTTCTGTGTCCATAACACGCTGTATTGTACGTGGTATGAACACCTTCACGTTGGTTGCATTACCAAATTTCTGTTTCGGCAATTCGAGTAAAATATCGTTGAAACTTTTGACATCCGCTGCAAACATCGTTATCGTTCCATTTTTATTGCATTGAATGTCTGTCAATCGAACAGTTGGTAAGTGAGTTTTAATGATTTTATTTAGGTCGTAACGATCTAATTGTGCACCTTGTAGAATCAGAGGTGCTAATTTTGACATTGGTTCTTGCGTTTGGTGATTTACGGGTTGTTCATTCGAGATGTTGTGATTAGACGTATACCTTCGTTCTTGCTGAAGCCGTGATGTGGTTTTTGGCTTCTTGCGAACCGCACCGCCATCTGGAGGTGTGTCCTCCATGACTGTAGTTCGTGCGAGCAAAATTACACGTTTTTCCCGATAAATTAGGAGGAAATTTAGGGTTTTTAATAGATTTAATCAAGGGGGAAAAAGCATACTTCTGTACTTCTCGGTACTTCTCCGTACTTCTTGATACTTCTTGATACTTCTTCGTACTTTTTTGTACTTCTCCGTACTTCTGAAGTACGAAGTACGAAATACGAAATCCCGTATTTCGTACTTCGTACTTCAGAAGTACGGAGAAGTACAAAAAAGTACGAAGAAGTATCAAGAAGTATCAAGAAGTACGGAGAAGTACCAGAAGTACAGAAGTATGCTTTTTCCCCCTTGGATTTAATACAATATTTTCCAAGGGGGAAAGCACGGAATCCTGGAATCCTGAATTCCCCCGGATTCCAAGGATACCCTATGATTCTTTAGGATTCCAAGGATTCTCTAAGATTCTCTAGGATTCCTTAGGATTCTCTAGAATTCCTTAGGATTCTCTAAGATTCCTTAGGATTTTCTAGGATTCTTTAGGATTCCAAGGATTCTCTAGGATTCTGAAGGATTCCATAGGATTCTCTTCGCTTCCTTAGAACTTCTCTAGATTGGGATTCCTTAGAATTCTCTAGGATTCCTTTGGATTCCATTCGATTCCATTGGATTCCATTGGATTCCTTTGGATTCTTTTGGATTCCTTTGGATTCCATTGGATTCTGCGAGATTCTATGAGATTCCGTTGGATTCCATTGGATTCTGCGAGATTCTATGAGATTCCATTGGATTCCATTGGATTCCGTGGGATTCCAGGATTCCGTGCTTTCCCCCTTGATATTTTCACTACTTCACGTAATAGAGAACAGTTAATTAGCAAACACGTCTTGTCGGCGCCTCGCAAAAAAAGAAAAAACTAAAGTAAATATTCGAAAACTAACTTCAGTTGTGTCATGTACGACTCTTCTACTTTTAAATCATCTTTTTCTTAAATCTGTACGATTGGTTTACTCGAAGTTAAAAGCAATAAACCGACAGTCGTTTCACTCAGTCGGTTTAATTACCCGTTGATACAATAAACTAGAAAATCTCCTCTCCAAACCATTCCAGTAAGAAAGGGGAACACCCCAAGGATCCCGATTATCACCTCTTCTTTACATCATATTCACATACGACTCGATGGTTGAAATTCAATCAAAAGTTGAACATGAACTTTTCGCAGACGATACTGCTCTATGGTCAGCTTCAAATACAACGTCGAATCTAAATGAAAATCTACCGGAGGCCCCCGATACATTCAACAGGTGGTGTACGTCATGGAAACTACAGATACAACCATCGAAGACAGAACTTATACACTTCTCTTCTCATCCGAAGAAAAAGTACAAAAATCTGATCAAAATTCAAGTGGAAACTCGATGGTCGTTCCTCAAAAGTCAGCTCGGTAGCTCGGTGTCATATTTGACAGAAAGTTAGACTGACGATCTTATGTACAACACGTTGAATGTACAGTGAAAACCAGAATAAGTCTGCCTCGCTTTCTGTCTAAGTCAGCTGGTGAAAATGTCAACACTAAAACAACTGTTCAATTGTACAAGTCCCTCATTCATACTGTTATACAGCTAACGGAAAAGTGTGGGAACGTCTCCAGATAACACAAAACAGAGGACTACGGTCAGAATTAGCTGTACCAGGATGCACATCAGTCGACTACATCCATCAACTCAGTAAAATCAAAAAAATCAAAGATTTTCTGTGAAACTAACTAAAACAGTGTTATACCGAGCTCAATACTATCAAGACATTATCACCGAAGATAATTTACAAAACATATTAGAAAACGTTCACCTGTAAATTGTAAATTTTAAAGTTGTAGATGTCTTTTCCTTTGTCTTTTCTTTTTTGGGCATAAGACTTCGTGTCACGCGCTCTGTTGTACCTACTATTCTTTATGAATAAAGCCCATGCCACCTCAAAGTTATTATTGTCATTTGTGTAAGAAAAGATGAAATTTGAATAAAAAAATGTACATAAAGTAGATGTTAAACCACATGAAACCAAGTCAGAAAAACCTAGATTCTTCTTTTAATTATCGTTCTACGTCTCAAGTAGCAGTTGCTTTCCCAAATTGTTCATGGTTTCTTCACCAGAGCTGTGAGCACTCCTGAGAGTACCAAGTTACTTTAAGTGGCATGTCCATTAAAAGCAGTTTATTATTTAAAAGTGCACAATAGAAATATTATAAAAACGTGTCAAAATACAGCAGTCGAAATTCATGTTAGTGAACAAGAAAATAAAAATACATAATACGTTGTTAGTAATGCATTCAGTTAATTGTGAGAAGAAGGAAATAAATGCTCAAGCAGGTGACGAATCAATAAAATAGTTTGTAAAGAACACAAAATTAAAACGTCTTTCAAGTATATTGGACACTAGATAACATTTATATTAGAATGGAACTGTACAAAGGTTATGATAAAACTATTCTCCTGTTATTTAGGCCTCTACTATAGAAAATGAAAGACATATGATTGATCGAAAGAAATTTTCAACCAATCCTATGTCTTGCCTGCGCTTCATTCAATTCCAGTTTCTAGTAAAGACCTTTATTGACAGATTGGGCTGTAATGGCCGCATCAAGGTCTAG